GATTTTTCGGACTGCTTTCCTGGACCCGTTTCAGGGTGATTCAGGCCTGGCAGGTGCGAGCGGGGGCACCTGACTGCGACCGTGGAGTGTTTGTGTGTTGGACAAAGACGTCCAGCTGTGACGGGGTGGTCATGTAAGGAGAATATATTAAACAGTGCACAATTAATACAAAGCCCAGCGCGCTGGATTATTGCTGGGAGCAGGTGGCTGTGAAAGGCAGGAAGTTATGAGGGAAAGGTGACAGATGGCTTTAGAACAGTAAGCATTTCTATTCAGGAAAGAAGAGGAGGACATAACAGACACTTTGAGGAGGGAAGATATGATTCAAGAAGCAGACATTTCTGCTTTCTGTTTGGCAATATAGGACCTACAAAGATTTCTATGAACAGAAAAATTGCTATTTGCATTACTATAAACCACTCCACTGTAGCTCTCGCTATGCTTAGGGTATTTGCTCTATTGCAAGGTGAACTTCTGTCTCTTTCAAGATTGCCCTGGATTCAGCTCCATCCATCATCCTTTCACTCTTTGGTTTTTCTGCTGTAGGGAGGCTATGAAGTATGCATGTTCAGGGTGATGTGGAATATTAAGTACTGCACCGTTGCACCTCAACATGGCCACGGCCATTCTTACTTCTTCCTTTCAACAGCTGCTTTCTCATATTCTCTCCTCCACATTGGTCAAATCTATGAAGTTAATGATTAATAGTGTTGATTGTCTCCAATCTCTAATGTAATTTTTTGCAGATTCTCTGGGATGGCATTGAGCCTAATAGCTGTCTCTCTGATTAACGCATTCCTTGCTTCGCTGTCAGTTTAGCTGGATGGTTATTTCTTCAGAAGTCTGCAGTTTCTTAATGTCAATTTCAGTGTGGGACGATGGCTTAAACAATGCCCTGAGAGATGTTCACAGCTTGGCATACTGTTTTATACCTTAATTCTTATTTAAACTAAGCCGTCTGCTGGGTTCTTTAGCCCCATGATGAACTGTAACAACCCTTTGCAGTTTCCAAGAAATAGCTGGATTTATGCAAAGTATAAATAGCGAACATTATAAAATAACAAGTAAATGTTGGGTTATGCTCGACACATCAATGTTACATACAGAAAGGCGTTTGCAGAATATAATCCATGCTACTTTCCCCTGCTTTACCCAATAATCTGGCCGACTCTAGGTGTCTGTGTAGGGCACAGACCGTAAGCTTATAACACCACGCAACATGTGGAAGCAGAAAACGCATCTGATTCCAATATTTTCTAGCCGTTCATGTTGTCTGAGGATGACGGTGAGTTTTTCTAAGAGTCGTTCACAATCAGTTGATCATAGTGACATTATGGGCCAAATGATGAGGAGTTGTCGCTCATCTAGCTCGCTTTTCTCAGCAGACATATAGAGTATGTGGAGACTAAAATGACATAATTCGTCCGTGTCATGTCGTTCTCACACAAGTCCAGCATAAACCAGGCTTAAAATGGCCTGAAAGAAGGTTAATTTAACATTTTATTTTGATTTCACCAAATTTCCTACATTCAATTCAATTCAGTTTATTTCTATAGCGCCAATTCATAACACATGTTATCTCAATGTACTTTACAGTTCACCAGATCATCCAGCCAAGTTGATTCAAAGTGTTCTACTTAAGGAAAACCAGTTGATTGATCGACTCATTGACTCAAATGCAATCCCTCACACTAAGCATTCTTGTAGTGACAGTGGAGAGGAAAAACTCCAGCAGAACCAGACTCAGTGTGAGCGGCCATCTGCTGAGGCCGACTGGGTTTCAAGGAGACAGAAGCAGAGATGGAAAAAGCAATTGTAAGACGACCCTGTCAAGGAAACCCACAGCCAAGCACATCCAGCTAGTCACAGTCAGAGAGACGGGACTACACTGAAAAACAGGCAGATCTCCAACATCTATAAGCAAAGGTGTTGATGGCAGCAGCACAGCTAATACTGTATTTCTCTCCAGGATGGAATCACAGCCAAACAACCCTACATGTTCTTCCATATATCAAATCAATTACAATACAATTCCTTGAATCTTGATATTTCAAGTGAAAACCAATGTTAATGCATTAAAGATTAAAAGAATACCAAACTTCTTTTTTATCCAGATCAATCAGTCTCTAATCATAGCTACACAGTAAACTATTGAAAATACTTGGCAGGGTAGGTATGTCTGGACTAGAGGCACAATAACATAAAACAAAGATTCTCTATGATTTCACTGTGGATTAAGCAGAGATTAATTTCTCCAAAGCTTTGCTGAAGGCAGACCTCAGCGTACAAGGCCAGCTGCCTTTGTAATTCAGCCCATCTATCTAGAGCTCAAACAAAAGAAGAAAAAAGACTCAGGGCCATGTAAAGTAGCCAGACCCTTATCAATAGTGTCAAACACAAAAACACAATGAGCTGCGGGTTCTCATTATTTCTGACTTAATGTCTTCCAATCAGTGGGGACGACACAGCCGGGGGTGGCACCAGTGGGTCATTCATTTACCATCTGCTTCAAGTGTGCAAAGGGTGGGGTGGGGGGGTCACACTTGATTAAACTTTCTTATTGTGCTTGACAGAATATCACTATACCGCTGATTCCCACTTTAAAGGGTTTGCTTTATCTTAACCAAATTTATTATCAATATAAATTCAAGCTTCTTTTATTCAGATTCTGTAACTAAGAGAAACGTTTATTTATCTGGGTTTTTATAAGCATGGTCTTTATTCAAGGTGTTTATATTTTCTCTCCACTGATAAAGAGTAAGATAAACGTGCTAGGCTTTGCTTCATCTCCAATACCTGTCCTGATTTAGTCTTACTCTGCAGCTGCTGGAAATTAAAATGACTTTTGATTTTAATAGGGAATGCTAATCTATGGCTACCAGCTTTCATTTACTGTACTAAAACCTAATAACCTAAAAAGATAATGAATAATGACTAAAAAAAGGGCAGTCAGTTTTATCAAGATGCTGTATTGGTTTCAATTTTACTTGGCAAGTAAGACCCACTTTGCTTTATATGACTATTGCAAATAAAGGAACAAAGACTGCATTAGGGATTCCTCATGACTTCATTCTAGGGTCACTTTTATTTAAAAGATAGGTTGCCCTCTATATATATTGGCCTCTCTAGGATAACAAGATAATATAGCGCTTCCTTTCCTATCTTAAGTCAAAAACAATTAAAAAATCGAAATCTAGATAAGTAATTTTTTCTTAAAATAAGTGCATTTCTTCTTGGATTAAGGAGGTAAAAGAGATATTTTGCAAATGGACCAAGACAATTTTCATTTAAAATAAAAAACACACTTGCATTGTCTTATTTCAAGTGCATATTTCAAGTGCATATTATCTAATTATCTTATTTTAAGAGTAAAAATACTCATTGGCAAACTATCTCACTTACCTACTCAAATTAAGGGTAAATACAGTTAATTTAAGACATTTTTAGATTGTTTTGATAGTGTATGCTTCTACGTTACCATGTGGCCACAATTACCCATACTTTAACTTGGCAGAAGTAAAGAATTTGTTTTACAGAAATTCCGTTGTCTAATTTCTTAAGTGCATTATGGAGCCCAAGAGAAGAAGCTATGACAGTTGCATGGATGATCCAGGTCCAGGCTCTGTTAAACATTTATGCTGAGAAGGACTTTTAGCAGGAGTTTGAGTCTGCGAGACGCAATGATGGTATCTAGGCCACAATTGCAGCCAGACTGCCTGAAATAAATGTTCTGCAAACCACAAAGCAGGACCGGGACAAGCTAAAGAAAATCAGCAGGACACTGCAAAAATTCTAAATCTAGATAAGTCATTTTTTTTCTTAAAATAAGTGCATTTGTTCTTGAATTGAGGAGGTAAAAGAGACATTCCGCCAATGGAACAAGACAATTTACACTTAAAATAAGAAAACACAATTGCATTGCCTTATTTCAAGTGCATATTATCTAATTATCTTATCTCATTCCATTGGCAAACTATCTCATTTACCTACTCAAATTAAGGGTGAATACACTTAATTTAGGAGATTTTTATTTATTTCTAGATCGTTTTTGAAGTGTACAAGAGGCTAAAGGACCACAACAATCGCAGCAGATAAGACTGCTGGGGAAAAAAACATTGCTATGACCAGCTGGATGCGACCCTGGAACATGGGTCAGCATACAAAGTCACCAGAGGCAAAAGGGCTCAGTGCCGTCGGTGCTGGAGGCGGTTAGCTAAGAGGAGCTCTTGGACATAAAGTCAGGAGTAAGTGGCCTGTTCTTACATGCAGGAGGAGGGAAAGTCTGTACAAAAACATGTGTAAAAAAAAAAAAAAAAAAGAACTTGGCTTAGAAGAACAGCTGAGAAATCAACAAGTTTAAACTTTTTATGTCTTTGGGTTTAAGTGGCACAAACATTTCTGTATCTATGGATGTGGAAAGGGCCGTGTGCAAAACGGAGCATCCGTTTGGCTGAGATTCAGTTCTCTTCCATTGTGAGTCACCTGCTTTCTAACAAAACCCTAGAGGTTTCATTTGAATGTTTTCATTTTTTATGCATCTTTTTTTATTTCTACAGGTGCACACAGTCCTGGCAATCTATTAACACATCTCTAAAAAGGAGAAACCGCTCAAAGAGCAGATCACTCAGCGTTTCATGTCTGCAAAGGTTTGTGACGAGTATTTCTGTTACAGTGAGAGGACGCTTTTTTTCTTTATCATGAAAAGTATTTCCTCAAAGCCGTCAGAAATAAGCAGCCACAGCTCCCTGGATGAAAACTCAGATGTTACAAGCTAAGAGATAATCAAGGGAATCAGCGCTGATTTCCAGCCTGCTGTGAACAGATGCCTGCATCTCGAAATAACACCATGTAGCTGCGCAAGAACAGATCAGACCTGGGCTGTGATATTGATTATATTGTAGCAATTTTGCAGCTTTGTCATCTTCTCGTGGAGGAGCTGATTCATTTTTCCAGGTTAATAAATGTGATTTGCACACCATTTGTCTTGGTGAGTGGCATACCGTGATCCAAGATGATGAGCTGCGCGCTCGACTGGATGTTGCCGGCATCGTTCTCTGCCAGACACTGGTAGAAACCTTCATCGGACTTGACCAGACCCAGAACCTGCAGGTTGTGCTCCTTCTGCAGAATAAGATAAGAGGCAGAAAATAGAAATACAAATAATGGATTTAGCAGTTTTTAATCCCAATCTGTACAGTATAAAGCAAAACTTGTGTCATTAATAACAGAGGATGTTTGGTTGGTTTTGAAGAGTTGTTGCATTTACTGGTTTCAGATTTCTGTTTTTTTTTTTTTACTTTTTTGTCACATTTAAATGTTCCAGCTGAAACAAATCTTAATATGGGATAAAAAAAAAAAAAAACTCTTTTTAAGTTATCCCAAGCAGCCTAACTTCATCAGAAACCTCTGTTATAAACCACCCGTTGAGGAAAGCAGAGTTCAAAAGCCACAGCAAAATGTGATGGAGCTGTAAAAGTCTTAACAATTAGCAATCTTCTTACCAATCTAGTTAGAAGTAAGCTGAAAGAGCCTGAAAGCAGCACATGTTGCCTTGACTTTAATAAATTTAGAGTCAGGCGAAAGAGATATTTCTTTTTATCTATTAGATGAAAAGTAGGAAACGCTGGAAAGTATATTAATACCATTTATAAATGACATGTCTACTCTCTCCCTGAGCTCTAAGAACAAACTAATATCACTGTGTTTTGCTGTGTTTCAGCATTAGAGACCTAATAAGACTTCCTTGGAGCTCTGAGCTTGGATTCTTGCATATTATGAAATGGTTGAGCCAAAAAGAACATTGTTCTTGTTTCTGCAGCTTAAAGAACCATAAAGAGGTTCTATGGTCCTGCAGTATAAATAGAGGCCTTTTAAAATTTGCTCAAGTGATTTACAAGGAGAACAATTATCCACAATAATTTAATAAAGAACTGCAGGTCACACTTGGCTCATTTAAGGTCAACTATGTGCAGGAAAATGGAAAATTATTACATCTGTAGGAGAGTTTTAAATACCCTTATGATCCTTTTCTACAAGATGTATAATTAACTAACAGGTTTTCAGAAACAGAACAACTTCCTGATAATCAAATATGTTGAGGTTGTCCATGACAATTCACAATAACTGACGGATTTACAAAAAGTAATTTAAATGGAAAAAAGTAAAAAAAAAAAAAAAAATCTAATGGAAGTTTGAAGACGTTTCGCTTCCCATTCAGGAATAGCGTTACATTAGCCCAGCAAAGCCTTGTTTGTGTTCAGAAAACATGCAAATTAAAACGGATGAACTGGTCCACCCCTTTGGAATGGGGTCGTTTGGCTTCTTTTCTTAGCCAAGGTTTGGATGGGCTAATGTATAAACCTCAAAGGCAATGCTGTTTAAACAATAAAGAGTTAGGTCTAAGTTGCCAATTCTGAATTGAAAAAGCTTCCTGAATGGGAAGTGAAACATCTTCAAACTTGGAAACAAAGTCCAGTGGATTGTTTTTTAACTTTTTTGTCATGACTATGACCTGGATGACTGAGAATTTTCACCAGCATAAAACTCTTAAGTGAAATATCCAAAAGGTTTGTGCTAAAGTGTTAAGATTTATGCTTCGTCATAGTAATGCAACGCACACCAGCAATCTGATCAATGAATAATAATAGAGAAAGGATGTATTGGTCCTGAAGTGGCCTAGTCAAAGTTCTGGGTTAAATCTAATTGAAATGAATGACCTGAAACAATCTGTTGATTCTCAAATGTGGTTAAATGTCTGATGTTTAAAAAACCTGACAGCAGTTATTACCATTAAAGCTTGAACAACTAGTTATTAGACTATTGCGTTTACCGGACTGAGGTGCTTTTGATGGCTTGATTCTCTTCAGAGGGAATTGCTACTTGAGAAGTTATTTTGTGTTTACTAAGGCTACCCTCGTTATATTTCAATTAATGTTTGATGAAATATCAAAGTGTGAGACTGAAAGTACAAACAGAAGAAGGAAATTCTTTTACTTTAGGAAAGAATGAACTTACAATTATTTTGAAGTAGTCACTGGGGATGACGGCGTCTCCATTCTTGACCCATTTGACGGTGGGAGCGGGTGAACCGGAAACTTCACACTCAAAGACGATGTCCATGGACTCATGGGCGTAAATGTTGGCCGGCCGTTTGACAAACTGAGGAGGAACTGTGGAATCCAGAGGAGAGGGCGCGGCCTGGTTAGTTCTAATTTTCTCAATCAGAGCAACAAACAGGATTCATCAGTTCTTTGTAAACAGCCTCTACTTCGTCCACACAAACCAGGGACATCAAAATCTGTTTCTGTGGTCCCTCCTTCAGAATGCTCCACATCAAACGATCCCATTCACCCCCCCTCTAATTACCTGATCAAAACAAAGTCAAACAAGATGATTAGAAAAAAAGCGCTAATTATTCCCTGCTTCATCTGCACAGCTGTGTCTGTTTTAGCACATGGATGAAAGGTTCAGTGACCTCTGGTTGTATTTATGCAGAAATGGATGAAAAATAACTGCTGCTTTGCTACCAGAACAGCATGACAGACAGGCTGAGCAGAGCACTTGCAGATCTCTCCAAGACCTGGTAATGAGGGCCAGAAAGGAGATATTTGATCTGCTCGGGCGATGCGGTGCCTCATCAATCTGTCCTGGAACAAGGTCAAAAGGAGCACCGGGCCCAGGCATCGTCCTCTCTCTGTAATTGGACTATGCATGTTGTGGAGCATGTGTGTTTTCTGCACGCGTGCATTTACGGGCTCTGTGCATTCTGTGATAAGCTGCGACCTCGCTGACCACAATTTAAATGAGTGTTTTGTTGCCGTGTTGCAGCATCTAAAGCTTTCCCATCAACCTCCTTCTCTCTCTGATAGGGAGTTATTAGCATTTAATTTGCTGTAATTTACCCAAGATGATTGGTTATTAGTAGCAGTGGGAGGATAAGATCCATTTTTGGTTTAATACAGTGTAGCAGCAGGTCATGAGGTCAAGTCTTCATCTCTCTGCTTGATTTAGCGACGACTAATTTACTCTGACGTACAAGCATTATTGGATACAGTGACTCTTTATCTGCTTAACACCAACAAATGTGGTTCCAAAATTTGAAGAAGGGACGATTCCTTCGGTTTCAGGACTGCTGGACTCAAAAACAAGCTGAATTCAGTCTGAACTGAGGACGCACTCTGCACATCTGTTGTTTATTTTCTTGCTCTACTAGCAGCACATGGAGCAAAGCTGGAGGGAAAGAAGCAACTTAATAGAACTAGAACAACAAACAAGAGCAGAATGTTCCCCCTGTTCCACGTATTTAACACCAGATATGGAAGCGAGGGATGGGGTGTGGCGTTCCAACTCAGCTCCGTTCTGCTCATTTAAAATGTGCCAACTCACAATAGAAGGCATTCATTTATAGCACGCCATCTATTCATATCAATATAACTCAAACCCAATGAATGATTCAGGGTTTAAACCAAAGCAGGTTTAAAGGAAGGTAAATTCAGGAAGTTCCTGAATTTACACTCTCCAGCAGCTCTCAGCAGTAACAAACGGTGCAGAATTTATCACATATGAGTTAATTTTTGCATAATTTGCTTTATATACACATATTATATTTATACATATATATACATATGTATACACAGAAAAGGATAGCGGCTGATTATGCAGCAAATGCAGATCATTATCATTGTGATGAAATGAGTTCAATTTTTTTTTTTTACTTTTTTTTTCAGAAACACAATTAAAATATTTGTTGTACTCTTATATTTTCAAATTTATATTCAACTTCATTATTATCAAACATTATAATCCATAAGGCACATTGTTGTTATCAAATGAGTTAAACATGAAGTTCTGCGATTCATAAATGTGATGAAGCTAAATGTTAAATATAATAAAATGTAATTCTAGTCAAATCTTTTATGCTATAAAAGCAATTTAAGCAACACTGTAACTTTTAGACACCAGTGAACGCTTGACCTGTAACTTCCAGGTTTATTTAACCAAGTTTTGGACTAGCCAATGAAAAGTCATGTTTACGCCTCTAAATTAAATCCTACATCGTCGAACTAAAGTATGTGTTTTTTTCCTACTTGCTTTGATTCTGTTTTATTTTCCTATACTTTAATTATGTAAAGCACTTTGCATTGTCTTTGTACTGAATTGTGCTATACAAATAAATTTGCCTTGCCTTGCCAGGTGAGTGACCGATCCGACTGAATCACTTTAGAGGAGTTTTTAGAAGAGCAGCCCTCATGGAGGACAAAGTGTTTATATATAATGACCTGATTAATCCTAAATCCTAAGATTAATCCTGATTAAGTTAGTGTTTCAGGGACCATTGTTACTTCTGCCACCTGTGTTATTATTTTTACTATACTATAACAATCAGCTGTGGATCATTTCCGTAAGAAAATCCCTTCTTAGCAATTTAACCCATAAGAGGAAAGAAACAAACGGTCTGCTCGTCTTTTTAGGAAAATAGAGATGTATTGAAAATTGAAAAATGTACAACTCTCCCTCCTCCTGTTATTTCCAGCTTAAATAAACTAAGCTAACACAAAGACATGGCAGACTAGTATTATTCATAATTATTTCCTATCAGCAGATACTTTAAATGATCATGAGTATCTATCGAACAAAGAAAAACCTCACATTTTCAGGTTAATTTGAAGATGTTTATTCTCTGTTTTTGCTGTGATGTAATGCCGATAACTTGATGCAAAGAATTCAAATAAAAAAACAATTTCTGCAAAAACAAATTCTCTATCTGATTTCAGGACAACATATTTCGTTGGATATATGTAAAAACCCAGCTAATCCAAAAAGATGGTTGGGAAATAATGAAGTCAATAAACAATGATGTCATTAATCTCAATTATTTGAATGAGAATGAGGCACTTTTCATCATTTCCGGCCTCTGACTTTGTGATTCCAAGAAAATTAATAGCCGCTCCAAATGGATGAATTATATCCCGGGAATTCTCCAAATGAAGAGGAGATGTTTGCGAAATAAGCGGTTATCTCAGGATGGTACAGATTATCATTATTCTTTATTTTAACCATAAATATCTAAATTAACCTCTGGTCTTCTGTATAGTATCTTGCATTTTGCATGAGGCTTCCAGCGGCAGCTGAACACCACCCCAGCAGATAGAAGTTTCCTTCTCCATGATTAATAAGTGACTGGATGGTTCTGTGAGCTGCTGTGATGAATTCTGAAGACTGACAGAGGAATGGTAATGAGGACGGTGACGCTTCAGGACCGCCATGACAGCCGTCTCCCCGCTGCGTTGTCTGCGTATGTGTGAGGTTTGCCGTTCCCAGCAGAAGTGTGTTTGAGGTGTGAATAATGTGCTTCGCAGTGTTGCGTCCTCTGGATATTTGCCTTAAGTAGCTGTGCAGCAGAGACAGGTGGAATGGCTGATTTCCTTTGGTGTGTCAGGAACACGCCTCTGAAAGCAGCCTTTGTGTGACTGACTGAGGGTTTTTTTCACTATGGACACTTGTTTTTTACTGATGCCGCTGTGGGCTGTGAGTGTTAAAGTAGCTGCTGATGCATCTGAACATGTGTTCCTCTACATCCATGCTCACAGGGGGCATTTGCTTTACATCCCTTTGTGTCAGTATTTGTGTCTGTGCAGATTTATATACCTGTGCATAGTCTGAGCGCCACCCCTCCCCAATTGACGACTGCCTGTGACAGATTCTGATGGAAAGTGATACCCACAGCCTCCCTTTATCTACACCTTCTCTCTCAGACTCACCACTCTGTCTTAACTTCCCCGCCCCCACCTACTCTTAATCTTCCCATAACTCGCCGTCTATCTCTCCATCTTCAGCCCTCGCCTCTCTCTCTCTCTCTCTCTCCATCTAAGCAGCCATGGACCATTTTCTCTAAATGGAGTTCAGACATTTGGAACCTATTGGACTGAGCAATGAGGAGGAACGTCTAAATATACCAATAAAGCTTTTAAGGGGGGGTTGCAGGAAACATTCAGGGCTCAGCAGAGGGAAATGTGTTGGTCTGTGTGCCTCTTAGTGCAACAACCTGCATAATCGGCATCTTTAAATAGTCATTTGCTTTTCTACTTATTGTGCCTGTGACAGAAATTACCTTTCGAAGGGGCTGAAGTTCTTCCCATTTTCTCACGCTATCAACCAATATAAAGGAGTGCATAACTCTGAACTGGAAGGACATTGAGAAAACCTTTTCAAAACATTTTGAACGTTGACAGTCTAAACATTATGGGCTGTTCCATACATCATCTAGGGAAAGAAATACTGAGGCTAAAAAAAACCCAAACCTTCCTACCCGATTGAGCCAGATAAGCATTAAACTGAAAAAGCTGCCAACAGGATCTTGGTTATTCTGCAAAAGCTACAAAGATCGTCAACTAAAGTAGAAGAATTTGTTGACTGGATGGTTATTAGTCATGAAGTCTTTATTTTATGCATTTTATGGAAGAGCTATTGTTTACATCTAGAAGGTCCTGTCTGAGTCACAAAAAACTGTATAAGCAGTGAAACGCAAACTGCAAAAAACCCTAAACAAACCATCACTACAGTGGTGGCTGCATCATGCTGTGGGGATGATGTTTTTCTGCACAGATAGAGTATCTAGGCAAAAGTGATGGGAAGATGGGTATACAGAGAGAGACAGGCCGTCAATGTCAATGTCAAATTTATGTATATAGCACTTTAAAAACAGGTATAAAACTGCACCAAAGTGCTTTACAGGAAAGACAAGAACATCAATTAATTGCTTCAATTAAAAGCCGAAGAATAAAAATAAGTTTTAAGAAGCGATTTAAAATGATCCAGGCTGTGGGCGAATTTAATTTGAAGAGGTAAATCGTTCCACAGAATTGGAACGATAAGAAAGCAAAAGACTTGGGGTGGAGGTTGACGTTCCAGAAGGAGGAGAGCTACACTGAAATGCTTCTGATTGGAGAATAAAGGTGTGAAAACAGGAGGAACTAGAAGAAAAAAAAAACAATCTGCAGATGTGGAAAGTTATTAGATACCAATATTCCAGCTCTAATCACAGCCAAAGGTAGAACTACTATAAGTTAATCAATACAATGCAAGAACTAGAAGCAATGCATGCGACACTTTTCACATCCTTAAAGAAAAAAAAAAATTTCCATCAAGGAAACAATGTCCCCCTTTTTTC